TGACCTTAATGTAGCATTAGAACTGAAAATGTAATTTTACTATTTTATGTACAGGAAAGATAGAATTAAACAGCAATTAGCTGGGAATGCATTATCGTTCTCAAACATTTGAACTCTAGTTTAAATGCATAAGTTTCCTTGAAATAGTATTTGTTTTAATAATACTCTTTAATATTTGGGTAATAATTTAATCATCATAATGTACCCTATTCCAGAGACATGTGAAGCTAATAGGAACAAGATAACTACTTATGTGACCTAGAATAGTAATGTAAGAACCTGAGAAGGCCAATTTCAGTGGCATAAATGCTTATTTATGTGAAAGTTTATCACATTTATAAACTTCAAAGAAAATTCTTGGGTACCCAAATCATCATGTCAGATCGACATGGCTATCATGCGGTCATGAGTAAAGCAGACACAATGGCCCATGCACTAAGGATTGATCAGTAAGTTTTTAATTGCTTCAAGCTAAAATGAACACTGCCTGGGTTGTAAGAAGGTTGTGTATGAGAGATTAGGTAGGAAAAGGAATGCTTAAAACTTGAAGTCATTAATTTTGTTGACTTATTTTATTTTTTCATTTACTGATTTGGCAAAGCTATAATGTTGAAAGTAATGCAGCTAAAAAAAAAATCATAAAATTGAATCCCAATCCCAAAGTCTAAATCCCTGTCTCCTCCAGCAATAATAGAATAGCAATGCTCATTTGTATTAGATATGGAAGTGCTCAGTGGAGATAGTCTGGAACTCATCTTTTCTTAATTTTCCCAGCAAGTTAAAATTTCTTTTTAAATCCTCTCTTTCCCCTGAAATGTGAAACAGTGGAAAGAGCATTGGTTTGGAAATCAAATGGCCTGGTTTCAATTCTATCTCCAATAAGCTCAAATGGCATAGGAAATTATTTGTCTCTGATTCTCAGCCTGTTCATCTACAAAATGAGAATATTAACAGCTTTCAAACTAACATGGATTCTGTCATTAAATTTTCTACCACATCACTACATCTATGATTTATTTACTCCATGCAGAATACAATTTTCTAGACTTCCATATCATAATTAGGAGCTGGGAAGAATACTTCAGAGGATGAAAAAGGAAAGGAGTTTTCTGACTTGTTTTTCTTCCATTAAACTCAGTGCAATCCTTCATTCTAGCATTTAGTTATTTTTAAAACTTTAGGGACTGCATCAGCAAATTTTGTTTTCTAGTTTCCAACAAGTCCTTGACACAGTGGTAGCATTTGGAAATGAAAAACTGAACATCTGGAATTACAATGTTGATTTCCACTTATTAAACAGCCCAAATCCACCACTACACTGCTGGCTCCCTAATTGCATGAAGGTACATTCCTGTTTCTTTGAAGACCGTCTCTGCAGGCGTGATGCCATCTCCTTATTGTAAAACTCCATCTGCTTTCTGGGGCAGCCCCTTTGTCTCACTTCCAAGATAAAATCATTCTTTGCATCGTGGGTATAATTTAGTGAAAGACTATCTCCCTTGAGTTTTTTTTCCCTCTTAATTAATGCCTTTATCATTTCCTAATGCCTTTCTAGAACCACAGGAAGTTATTTTGTACCAATGTCTTGTGCCCACTCAAAAACAGACCAGTTGTTCAGTGGAAGGTAAGGAAGCTCCAGGGACAAAATTAGTATTCACATCAGACTAATGAAGCACATAAATTATCTAGAAGCATAGAAGTCTTTAGGTGCAATGTAACAGAATGATCAAAATAACCCTGAGGTAAGAAAGAGGGAACTTAGGCTATCTCCAAACTCTGCATCAATGTACCGAGTTGTCTGAGAAAGATGACTTCACTTCTCCATGTCATTCTTCAGAAAAAAGAGTGATGAAGGCAAGATGACGTCTGAACTCAAATTTCACATTGGATATTCAGAGTCATAAGTATGTTTTGTGTCACAATGAAGGAGGATTTCCTGATTCTTGTGACTAGTATAAGATCAAAAACTCTGGTTGTACATGAGGATAATAAGTATATGATGTAATAAATAAATATGACAAGAGTGTCAATGAATCTGATTCTTGATCACTGTGTGTTTCACAGTTGTAGACAGGAATTATCTGTTGGGAACTTTATAATACAGGGAAAGGAAAGTCTACTGACTACAGCTTCCAAATGAATGGGTCTCTAAGCACACACTTCCATGGTTGTTAGGATCATAGCCATAAGCTGTAGTAATATATACATTAACGCCATTTTCTTGTTGAAAAAAAATAAATTAGCAAGAAAGAACATTAGCACTTACTAAGTAGAGATTTCTTTTATTTGACACCATAAATTCATGCAGTTTTTAAATGAATAGCGAGGAACTACTGCATAAAAGTCACAGTAAGAGACACTGAGTGGATTGTTACACAGAATCATATACATTGTTGGTTAGCGGACATTCATACACAATACTCACTCTTTTACAGACAATATAATAAACCATAAAAGTGATTAGTAACCACCAATAAAGAGACAAAAATTAAGTACTCAGAGAAGGAAGATAACTCCGATTGGCAGCATAAAGCAAAAATGTTGAACTAAGAAGTTTACAGAACATATCTAGACTGCTAGGTTGGGTTTGGTTTGTGGAAACAAGAAATAGCAAAGACAAATAAAGAGCAGACATAAAGTACACTACATGTGAAAACAATGGTGACATCTAACACTGATCAAGTATTTACTGTGTGCTAAGAACATGAAATGCATGGTCTCAGTTAATCCTCATAATTCCAAGAGGCTGGTTCTGTTGTATGTTTGTCTTCACATGGAGAAGCTAAGGCCCAGCAAAAAAGGATGGATTGTTCAAGCTTCCCCATTAAAAGAAACAGCAGGTTGTTCATCATTTGTGGATAATGTCAGTGTGGCAAGGCAAATGAAAGGTATTTGAAAAGTGTGTCTTGTCTAGATACCAAACAGTGAATCAAATTTAAGTGAATCAAGCTTAAGAGGAACTCAAATGAACCAAATAGAAGGGGAAATGTAAGCCCCTTCATGTGTTCAAACTAAAACAGGTATGGCATTTGGCATAGAAAATAAAGCTGCCACTTTCAGTGCTAGCATATCGCATAGGCATCAGTTCACATCCTAGATGTTCCACTTCCAATTCAGCACCCTGTTAATGGCCTGGGAAAAGAAGCAAAGGATAGCCCAAGTGTTTGGATCCCAACCACCCATGTGGGAGACCTGGATGAGCTCCTGGCTCCTATCTTTCTCCTGACCCAGCCTTGGCCATTGTGGCAATGTGGGGAGATGGAATATATGTCTCTGTGCAGCAAACTGACTTTCAAATAAATAGATCTTTCCAATAAATTCAGATTTTAAAAGGCATAGAACAAAGCTGCCCCCTCTGTATTATATTAAGTGACTCAGAATTTTCACCTTGCTCAACACACTAATCAATGTCAAAGCAGAAAACTGGAACACACTTGGAAGAAATCCTTTCCAACACAACCCTCTGCTTACGGTGGGAAGAAAGCTAGAGCTGAGAAATAATTAGATCTGTATAGAAGTTTCGTTTGATTTAATCTTTAAAGTATATATGTGAACACTATATAATTCTTGCCAATTATTTGGGAACTACTATTGAGTACAGACAACTAAAGATTATACAAAGCCTTAAAGTATCCTGGCACTTATATCCTCTGCACATTACTCCAGAAATTCAATTGTGCACCCTCATTTATTTTAATCATAATAATGTGATTCTATTATTTCACTGGGTTCATTGATAACCAAATGTACATAAAGCATTAATTAAACAAGCACAGCAGATATTCTAAGTTGAATGTATTAATTCTTTCACCAAAATACTGTAAATAAAAATGCATCAGAACCTCAAAGGACACTGTTTTCATAGAGATTAGAAAAATGACTTCATTTTTTTCTCTTGTTTCATCAGCTATTCATGAATTAGCTTTTTACTCAAATTTAAAATGTGTGTTAGTAGCAAATATTTTCTCACTAAATATGAAGTTCTTACATTTGTGACATTTGTGTATGAAGTCATAACAAATTTAATTTAAAGGATTTATATTGAGTTGAATAATTATATTTTATTATGTTATCAGTTATGCAAAAATGTAGCTGGTAGATAAAACACAAATCTCCAAAAGGATATTTATTGACGTCTCTGTGGTTAAATTACCAAAGGTTTTAACTCGGTCTTTAATGGTATTGTTTAGTTTTTTGTTATAATACAAATAGCTATATTTTATTTTTTTATTAATTTGATATTCAAATTTCATTTGCTATGATAGAAATTACTTGATATGTCTTGGTTATTTTGTGATTATGATTTTCAGTTCAAATACCTTCAACATAGCACATATTCAGTGAAATGATACAACACACAGCCTTCTGTATAGCCATGGAACCCCACACTGAAATCTCCCCCTAAGAGAAAAATTTAGGAGCTTGCTTTTAAAATGGAAAGAATCATATCGTCTTGCTTAATTACAGAGATGATTGTCAAATAAGATATAAAAGCAATAATGTTTCTCTAAATTTTCACAAAGCAGAAATAAACTTTAAAGGCTGAGAAATTCATCTGAGCTGTTTAAGTCAGCTTCTTTACCCAACTTTTAAAGCCATTTTCCCTTCTGTTTTGGGGGGGGGGTTGTTTTACATATTTTTGGTGGATATGTGTGCATTTCAACCTGCCTACCCTGAGTATTAATGCTCATGTAACTAACCCAGGGTGGTTTTCAGGGGATGGTTGTGTTTATGATGGTCCCTTCCTATAATTACTACAGATTTAATTTTAAATGTATAGAGTTACCATAGATCTAAGTTTAAATGTATAGTTACTTGAAATTAGAAGTGTTACCATCCACAGTGTAACCTTTATTGCCATAGGAAATTTTAAATGGATGTCTGTGAGAATTGCAGTGTATACCTCAGATAAATCCACTGACACAATCTCGAGCTCATCATGTAGTATTGACCAAAAAAAAAAGGATTTATTCAAAAAAGACAAAGCAAGCCTTGTTTTCCATAATTTCACCATAATTTTATTTTATATTTACAGTCTTCAATTTCTAATGCAAGGATTTTTCTAGGGGTTCTCGGGATTAGGAAGGGACATGGGGTTTGGAGGAGAGGGATCAAAGGTCTGGTTAGACAACATTAATGAATAAAGCTAACAGGATGTGAAAGTCTTCCAGAAGAAGTTCTTGCAGCCAGCCTTGCGCTCTCGAGGGGCCATCGCCGGGTTGGAGTTGGCAGATCTCTGCAGCTCCAGCCTCATGTCGTCCTGCTCAGCAGCCTGGGACAGATCTTCAGGTTCCAGGGCATCATTCTCCGTCTGGTTGGGTTCAGACAACAGCTCAGCCAAGAAGTACTTGGCCAGTTCCTGTAGGGGTAGAGAGGAAAGGGAAGAGAAAAGAGAAGGAAGAAGAGAAAGAGAATACAAATAAGAAATGGTTACATCAGATTTGAAAACCACACGCAAAACCAGGATTCCACAGCTGTAAGCATTTTGTCCTTCTTAAAATCAGCTAAGGATCTAATCAGCAAATTACACAAACAGGTTTCAAAGGCTCAAATTTCTCTGCAAGTTCCCTGCCTTTGTAGGCTTAATACAGAGAAAGAACGAGAAGGGGGCGGGGGTCGTTTACCACAGGTTTCCAAAGATAAAGCATGTACCAGCAATTTAACTCAGTTTCCCTACGAGGCACTACACAGTGGAGTTATTCTTACCATTTTACGAAGTCAACCGTGGGTGAAAACAGACGTCTCACAATCGCAAACTATTTGTTGCCTCTGTAGCCTGTCCTTGCCCAATCCCGCTGTGTGGGACAGTGGGGAAAGCGTAACAGGGCAGCAAGATGCCTGAGCTTCAGCACCTGGGTCAGCGCCTTGTTGTGCGCGCCAAGGATAGATGCCAGTGCTCTTTTGGGTTTAATGCTAGGATCTTTGAATTTCTTGATTGCTAAGGGAAAACTCACCTGAACTGTGATCGACTGCGCTGATCAGCAAAAACAAGAAGATACAAGAAAGGATTCCAGACATTAAAAGTTTCGCGGGAACTGAGACCCAGAAATGCCCTGAAATTCTCTAGGAAGACAAATTAATTCCAAACCAACAAGACAAGACCAAGGGCGGTGGGAGAATCCAGCAGAGGGAAAAGAATACATCGTGGCAGCTCTCTTACCTGCTTGCCCGCAGCAGCAGCCAGGGACTTCTGCAGAAATTGACGGAGCCTGGGGTCCGAAGGCGCTCCGGTGACACCGCCCAGGGCCAGGACGATGGAGAGCACGGCCAGCGCGCACTGCAGGCGACAGGACAGCATCGCGGCAGCGCCGGGAAGCGGAGCTAGGGAGTGGCTCGTCAAACTCTGGGCGCGATCCCCAGGCAGCAGCGACGGCTCTGAACCACGCGACTCCTACAGCGGCTTCTGTGCGCTCCTCCGTCTCCCCTCCTTTTAAACTCTGTCTCTGACGTCAACCTAGGAGGCGCCCCCAGATCTCACCAGTGGTTTTACGCACCATTAGCCTCGCAAAATCAATCACAGAAGTGAGGGGAGGCGACACGATCTAAAGTGGCTTAAAAAAAAATCCTGCACAGGCACACACGATTTCACATGCCGCACTATTTATACAATCAATGCTAGGAATATACGCATTCTCTGATTTCACTCATACACATGCATGCACTAAATTACACGTGAACCGAGGATCAATCAGCCCGTGAAGAGCAAACAAATTGTGACGTGTAAGTGCACCTACACAGGTGTGTTGATACCATGCCATCCCTCAACCTGTACATTTTAGGGGACATACATATGAAGTTAGTGGAGGTTTCTCTGTCAACAGATTTGAGAACGGAGTGTCAAGGCTAGAGAGACTGAAACACATCTTCTTCCACCATCTATTGAAGAAGAACCTTGCTTTCTTTAAAAATAAGAAAGAAGTCATATTAGTTGATCCTCCCTCCCTCTCATTCTCCTTCTAAGAGACTGAGAATTCTCTTCTACCTGCTATTGATGTATGTGTGTGTGTGTGTGTGAGAGAGAGAGAGAGCGAGAGAGAGAGAGAGAAAGATTGCATATTTTATTTTGTTACCCAGAAAACTTGGAATTAAAAGGCAATCTCAGAAATTGTCTAACAAATCTCAGAATTTGAATCACAGATATCTAAGCTGAGCAGTAAATTGTTCTGGCTCATACAACTGCTTGCAGGGGAAAATCCCAGGCCTCCACATTTTAATGCCATTCAACTACAAGTTTTCTAACAGATTCTGACCAATTGGAACTTTAGGACATGGAAAAAGCCAGAAACCCTCCTGAGCCTCCATACCCATGACTGAGTCTTTGCGTGGGAAAACAATCATCTGATGCTCAGTCGAATGCAATCTTTTTCAACTCGGTGGAGCACAAAGGAACTGGCTATGCGTTTACTGTACAGATTACAATTCCTGTCTTTTTTAAATTGCCTATCAAAAAGAAAAAAAAAGAAAGTTTATTTCCTGGAATGCATCAGACCATCACTATAGGTTCCTCGAGAACTGATATTTTGTGAGCTTTCATTATTAGCTAAAAAGCTGTGCTGCTTTCAGCATCCGAGGAAGCAAAGGACTTGGCCAATCATAGCATTAGTCAGGTGTAATGCATCAGAATACCCTAAATGCTTAGACAGAAATTATCATGTTGAGAGGTGGGAAGGGTTGGGAAAGGGTACGAAGGCCAAAAAATTATCACGGTAAAAGAATGTATAGCAAAAAGTGTCCAAATTCCAACGCTGGACAGGTCCAAGCAAAGCTAAGCAAAATGGGAGGCAATAAAAATCATCAGATGGGACCAGCTAGTATGGGAGAGCAGCGTATCTGGGGTCCTGGACTGAAACTAACAGGAAATACATACTGTATCCCCCAAACATCCTGGAACCCTCCCAGATCTGGCACTGGGTACTCAGAATATTGATATCAGCTCTGAGATCTCTTCTGTCCTGTCCCCACCTTCCCCAGATTCCTACTCTTCCCAGCTTCTTCCTCTCTCCTCTTTTCCCATTCTCTGGTCTTCTCTAGACTTCTCTCTCAGCATCTTCCTCCTTCAATCTGTCTTCTCTACCTTGCTCCTCATTTCTGACCTCAACCTGGCCCTGTCTGATTGTGCCCCATGTCCCCACTCTTCCTTTTTTCTCCCTCTACTGAGGCTCTATGAGCCCCTCCTTCATAGCTGCCTCTCACCAAATGAGTTCCTGATCTCTGGCTGCCTTAAGTGCGTGCCTGGAAATCTGGGCTGCTTCCCTCAGACCCAGGCTCAAGTTTAGTGGTGACACAGAAGTTTCTGGGTTTTGTTTTTGTTTTGTTTCATAATCCTTGATTTGTTCTGAGTCTAAGAACTCTTTTGAAGAGAGCTAGAGCAAAAGAGAACACAAATTCTCCCTTAAATACCCCATGTCCAATTTTAGAATTAAACTCAGCTTAGCATTAATGTGCTTCAAACTTACAGAACCCGGAACACTCTGCTGTCAGCCCTGGTGCCTCTTTCCCAAGTTCCAAAGTGTGGAAAGTGTAGATGTTTTATAGATTACTGGGAATCCTATTTGCCAGATTGTGGCCATTGGGACCTGCCTTTCCCTGTTTATGCAATCTTTGGGGTCAGAAAGCATGTTCATATTCCATCGTGGTTGTCATGCCACTCCCACCTTGCACAAGGGGAAGCCAAGGTCCTGAGAACACCAAGGAGTCTTCCAAACATTCATGGAAAATCGTATTATGGAAAAGAATGATGCATGGATTTTGACGTGTCTTTGTGCTAATACAAATGTATCTTTTAGTCCCCTCACGAGTGCTTTGATAGGAACACACAGCAGCAGCATGGCAAGAGTCACTTCCATACTAGAGATATTGTCACAGATACCCACCAAACGGTCTTGGACACCAGCCCCTTGGACAGCCTGTGGGCTTCTTCCCTGCACAGCTGTGCTGGCCGGGTGATGGTGCCCCACTTTTGTCATGAAATCCTCATTCGGGTTCACTATCTGCCAAGTGAGAAGTAGGAACTCATTTGAACAAGAAAGGAAAGCATCTGTGAGCAGAAATGGACATTACACTCAAGAAATGCAGGGGAGACAAGGTCTGAGTTGTGAATTCAAATACCTAGATTCTGTCCTGGTCCTGCTACAACTGGTTATGGGAAACTCACTCTGTGCCTTGGTCTCCTTGTCTGTGAAAACAGAACTCCAAAGAATCATCCTGGAAGTTTCTTTCAATTCTAACAATAAACTTAATTTGAAGGAAATAAAAGCAAACTAGAGTGGCCTTTATGTTAAAATGTTGTACTACCTGTTAAAAAGTTAAATGTATATTGAAAAAAAAATGCTTTCTGGAATAAAAAATTGGAGACTGGGTGCAGACAATATTTTGCAGGTCTATTAAAACCTTGTTCCTGAGTCTGTCTTCTGTTGCCAAGCTGCCCTCATCAGCTTCTCCACCTATAAAATCCATTCACACAGACTCTTTCTACAAATAAGAAATAAGAAACTATACTATCTGCAATGCTGACTACGTAGCAGTGAATTAAATAAGCAAAACTATAATACAACAAAAAATAAACACATGATTAAATTGTAAGAACTAAAACAAGATACAGAGCAGGAGAGCAGGAGCTAGACTCCTTTGAAAGGGATCTTCTCGAGCTGAGATCTGAAGGAAGTACCTGAACCAAGGTAGTCCCAGCTCAAGAAGGAGGCTGACCAGTGCAAAGGAACTAACGCAGAAGAGCACAGGGTACATCTGGACAGCAGCACATGGCAAGGCACCACAGCACAGGGCTGAGAGATCAAGTCAGCCAGGCAGGTAGCACCAAACCACAGGAAGTCCTCCAGGCCATGAAAGGAGAAACAGATGGAGAACTTTGAGTAAAGAACTAACCTGGTTCAGGTTTTGAAAATAATGCTGTGCTCAGGAGGATAAGAGCAAAGGCAAGTGGAAAACTTGGGAGCCTAAGAAATAAGAACAAGAAGGACAGACACGCATATTCTCCCCTCATACTCCAAGCCCTCTGCAGCCAACTGCCAGGGCTGCTCTCAGTCTCCCAAGTCCAAGGAGCTGGGAGCTGGGCGAGTTCTTTCCTGGTAAGCATCCCAACCTCCATGAGCACAAGAACAAGGATTTGCACCCCTCCCAGGGCTTCCATCCAGCTGGAAAAGGCCCAGCTCACACCTCTGGAGCTGAGGGTTGTCGCTGAGCCAGACTTTCTTGCCAAATTGGCTTTCAACAACTTCCACAAAACCTAAGACAAAGTGATCACATTTGATTTAAAAAAGAAGAAGAAAGAGTAAAGAACTTGTAAGTGTCACTTTTCTCAATAGGAGGGGTGAGACCTGGCTGCTTTACAGGATTCTCCTGTGTGTTCCACACTCTGTCACCTTCCAGCTCCACAGCCTTCGAGGGCCACTCTCATCCCCCATCAATGCCAGCCGGGACAACTGCAAACACATCACCCTTTCAGTCAAGTTTCTTCAGTCTCACCCTCTGTCCCTCGTTGTCTGCCAGCACTCCCAGCTCCCCCAAGCACTGCTCTTCCCTGTCTGCACCTGTCCTCTCCACATTGTCTCAAATGTGCAGTTCTCTGGAATATTGAGATCATGTCATTTGCTCTGAGACGTTTCCAAGCACACACATTCAGGCTCTGTGTGTCCCCCTTCTGGAGCACATGAGGTGTCTTGATCCCCTAGTGTAGAGCCACATACCTCACCTTTCTGCTCTTGGAGAGTTTGGAAGTATCACCAGGGAAAGCAGAAACCAAGTTCACATCCACCTCCTGAGCCACAAAAAGGTTAAGCACTGGACAGCTGTGTGGCCTCATAGTTTCGACACTGGGTCCCACATCAGAACACCTGGATTTGATATTCTGATTCAATAACCTGATTCTAGACTCCTTGTTGGTACAAATCCTGAAAGATAATAGAAATGAGTCCTGTCATTCATGTGGGAGATCTGGATTAGGGCATTTTAGCTTTATCCTGGCTCAGTACCGACCAGCTATTGCAGGCATTTGGGAATTAACAAGTAGAAGAGAGTTTTCTCTCTCTTTTTCCAACACAGGTAAATATTTACAAAAGTAAATATTTGAATAAATAACATTTTAAAATACGTTAAGGACAAAATAGTTCTAGAAGGATGGGGACAGAGCTAAAGCAAAGCCTCACTGCTCACAATTCTGAGGTAGGATGACACCCCAGATCACAGGTCAATGAGGACTGCACTTCCTTCTCCAGACACAACCTTGATGCTTGACAATCTTTGGGGGCACAAATCCATTTTTCCCCTTAGTCTACTCTGAGATTAGGCAACACAAAGACCCTAAACATTGCTCAATGCCACAGTTCCTGAAATAAGACCTAACTGAACCTGCCACATGAATAGGCCAACATGGTCAGTGAAATTATT